TGGGGGGCTGGGAGTTGGGGGTTGTAAGGCAGCAAGGGTGGTTTATGGGGTTGGGGTGGGGTCTGGGATTTGGGGAGGGGGCAGATGGGGGCTTGATCCTGCCTTGAGCAGGGGCCGGGCTAGATGGGACCTCGTGAGCTCCCTGCCAGCCCTACGATCCTACAATATCGTCTCCTGTCAGCCACTCTCGAAGATACCCCAAAACATTTCCTGCACTGTTTCCCCATTGTGGAAACCTCCCATTGCCCAGCCCGCCTCCAAACGGGGGGCAGGTGCTGCCCGTCCTGTCCCGATAGATAAGGCACAACTTGGCCCAGTGCAGCTGCTGAGATTTAACCCGGGCCAAACCGAGGATGCTCAAGGCCTTGCCCAGGGCTGACGGGGACCGAGCGGCACGGCTGGCACGTGTTTGTGTTCTCGCGCAGAGGTCCTCAGAAACCAGAGAAGAGTTCGAAGGCCTCCAAGGCAGATGATCGCCAGCTGCCGGCCACCTCCAAGGGCACCGTGCCCTGGCTCCAGCAGTGCCTGCAGAAAGCGGAGATGCGCGCCCAAGCCGACGCCAACGTAAATGCCACCGGCACTTCCTGGGTTTGCTTTTCCCCTTGACCTTGGCTATGTGTGCGGGTGACCTGTTGTGGGAACGGGGGAGTCTGGGCTCGCCCGGCCCCTTCTCTGATCAGCAAGCAGAGCGCCCATCGTGATCCGCGGTCGTGATGCTGACTTTGTGATCGGGATGCCTGTCTCTTAGCAATCCTGGCTATACAGGGTGGTTTGGGGTCCCCCAACCAGTCCCTATGGACAGGGTTGGTTTGGCACGTTCCCCATTAACTCCCCCCGGGACAGCGTTTTGCACCATCTGTTCCTCCTTTCCTCCCTCTGTCGGGTTGGGATTTCGCCTCCCGCCCTCACACGAGTGCTGCTGGGATGAGTCGGTTCGCGTTTGCAAAAGACGTTGAGGAGGTGACTAAAAAAACCCTGTATTTGTCACCCTCCAAGTCAGGGGATCCCAAGCTGCAGTCTGCAGATGCTTCCCGTGGCTCCCATCCAGCCCAGCCTGTGAGTGCAGACGTAGCTCGAAGGCTTTGGATCCGAGCGGAGTCACCTCCTCCTGGCTTCCAGCCCTCGACTTCCTTTGGGGCAATTAAAAACGCCTAACCTGTTTGCTTTCCCAGGCGAACGACGGCTGCATCGCTGTCCCAGGTGGAGTCAGGAGTGCTCTGCACAGTGGGAGGGAAGGTGACCCCCAAAAGCTCCCCCTTAAGTTTTGATCATTCCTTTGTAACACGTGAAGACTTGCTCTGAATCAGCCCATCCTCAATCCCACCTTTAAGAGGCAAAATACCTGTGAAAAGTCAGTCTGGTTGCTTAGGGTCAGATCTGGAAAGCTGCTTCGGTGTCTACCAGTGCTCCTGCTAGGACTTAACCCAGGGGGTCCTGGCTATAGGTCTTGCCCCTCTGCTCAGGGTCAGGCCAGCACTGCATTTGGGGTCAGGACGGGATTTTATGCCACGGTCAGGTTTGTATGGGCTGCGGGGAGGCGTTTCCTTCCTCTATAGCGGGGGACACGGCCTCTACCTGGGATCTCTCGAGTGCATTTTAGCAACCCTCACAGCAGCAAGACGCTGCCAGCCCTCGTCCCCCAGCTTCACCTGGGCAGGGCCAGGGGCTCTTGGTGCCTGAGCCTTGTAGCTGTGCAGAAGGGTTGTTGTGTAGTTTTAGGAACAGCTCAGATGGGGATTTGTCTGGGACGGTTTGGATGCACCTGCTCCTGCCTGGAGCAGGGCGTGGGACTAGATGGTCTCCAGAGGTCCCTTCCAGCCCAATTTCTCTGGGATCTCCAGGAGCACACATGCACCTACTGCTGCTGGCATCCAGGATCTGACCCTTGGGGCCTAAGCATCAGCACCCACATTTGAAACGTGTGGGTTTTTTTACCCAGTTGGCTCGCTAAGGAAGGGGTTGGAGCCGGTCCCTCTTATTCCACGCAAGGGAGACAGCCCAAAGAAGTCCACTGAGAGCGATGGGCTGGAAAGAAGCACGTGTAAATTGGACAGAATTAAGGGAGATGAATGATTAAGGAGCTGGATGCACGGAGGAAGTATGCAAGACTAAAACTGTAGGGAGCCAAGAGATCTCAAGGGGGAAATATAATTGTGTATGCGCTGGGTGGCACCTTAGAGACTGACTCACTCAGAAAGCCACATGCTTTCCTAGGCAACAGCTACAGTCAGGCGCTGTGAAATAAATTGTAGGTGAATAAATACATAGGAAAGAAGTCCCATCAGTAGGAAATACATCATGAGCATGATTCACTTTTGCCCAAACTGCAATGAATTAATTTAACACCAGATAAATACTCAGTGATTTCAAAGGGCGCTTTGATTCCTCAGTCCTTTCTCTAGGAGCTGTGCTTGAAAACCAGGGGCACGACACAGCCCCTCCAGTGGATTTAGTCATCCAAAGGGCAACGGGATCTCTGATTTCAGTGGCTCCCGCTGGTCTGCAACCTTGCTAGGGGCTGCTCTCTTTCTTCGATGCTCCTGGGTGGAAGAATATAAGTGAAAGCGTTTTAATCTGCATGGCAGGTGCATTGAATTAACCAGGAGAAACCTCTGATTTGTGTCGTGGGTAGTTGTGTTATAGTTCAGGCACTACGGCTGGAAGAGTGGGTCTCCCTATAGAGAGTCCTAGAGACGTGGGACCTCCAGAGGTCACATCTAGTCCAACCCCTGCCTGAGATAGGATCAGCCCTGTGCAAAACATCCCAGACAAACCCACAATCTAAATGGTGTGTGAAACTACCGTCAATCCTGATACAATGCAAGACATCGCATCTGAACCTGCCCCAGGGAAAGCAGGAGGACCGCAGCGGCCAACATCCTGTCAAAGGCCTGCAACAGGGGAAGGCAAACCCCCCTCCCAGAGCAGATCAGTAGTCCATGCAAACCAGCGGAAGGAATCCAGTGAGCTCTGGATTTGGCCCCTGGCCCACCATATCATTGCATTGAGTGGTCTGGGCTCTTCCAACCTGACGTTTTGCAGCTGGCTGTCCGCATTGCTGGAGAACGCACCCCACCAGCAGCACGGCTCCGTGCAAGGGGCCGGCCGCGGTCACCTTCCTGTGCGGCCTCAGTGCAGAGTCACTTTGCCGTGACAGCACACTGATTAAATGCTTCCTCCTCCGCCTCCAAACATTCCCCACTGTGAAAATGAGGATCTTTTGGCGCGCGGCTGACATCGTCACGTTATCTGGCGAGCGCACGGCACTCAGCTGTGCAGCGCGGGCCTCCCTTTTGATCGAGCCTCAACTGATGAATACAAATTCATGCAGCTGCACGACGACCATCGCTGGAATGAGACAAAAAGCAGGTACCACGGCTTCGTTAGCGGTCTCCTAGCACAACGAGGTGTGCTTCCTGCCGGGCACTGGGCGCCCTTCATTCTGATTTTAAGTAAAGCCAAAGTTGCTCAGTGACTTGCAGGAGTTGGCCCTATTTTAAGAAGTTAATCTTGGTCAGAGGTCCACCCTAGCTGCAGCGGTCCATCACGCTGGCATCATTTAAGGCTCACCAGCTTTTACAGCCAGCAGCGCACATGGGAGCAATGTGGCTACAACACATCTGGAACGACCTGGTATCCATTTGCAGCCGAGGCAGCTTTCAGTAGAGACCTGCAGCAAGGCTGAGAGCTGCCCCTATAGCGAGAAGCCCTGCCACACTGCCCATTTTTGAAGGATTTATTAGTGCCTCGAGTCTATTTCTGCTTTAAGTCTTTGGGTGGGTTCCCACTGAGGTCTGTGATCGGACTACAGAAGCAGGATGCTGGCTGCTGTGGTTCCCCTGCTTTACCTGTGCAGGTTTGGGTGTCAGGTCAAAGTTGTGTCAGGGTTGAGGGTCGTCTTATGTAGAGTTTAGATTAGGGTTGTTTGGGATGGTTTGGACAGGGTTGATCCTGCCTCAGGCAGGGGTTGGACTAGATGACCTCAGGTCCCTTCCAGCCTTACTCCTCTAGGACTATTAACCATAATACTCAACACTCGCCAACCCTCCCTCCTTCTAATTCACTGTCAAGGTAGAGACGTATCCTAGAAAGGATGGAGCAATCTAAGGCCGTGCTTCTCAACCCGTGGCTTGCGACCCAAAAGTGGATCGCAAGAAGATATGAAAGGGTGGCAAGGAAACTTTATAAAGTGGATCAACAAACTTTAAAATTGGATTCTCCTTTAAAGGAGCAAAGCATGGGAAACAGTGGGTTTTCTCTTGCAGGCTGGCAGAGCTCCAGTCTGCAAGGGGCTGCTTGGGCTTGCCCCATACATTGCCAGGCTGGGACCTGGGGGCAGCGGGTCGGGAGTGGCCATCGATGTTTACAAATGGGTCCTGGTCCAAAAAGAGGTTGAGAATAACTGATCTAAGGGACCCTTGAAATCAGGGGGAATATCTAACCTTTACTTCCCTTGCTGCAACTTGAATCCTCCCTACGCGGGCTTGGTGGCAGAGTTGAGACCTTAATATAGGGCTACCTAAGCGACAGGGAGCGAAGGGCTTCCGAAATAATCCAAGAGAGAGAGAAATACCTTCTGGAAAGAAAAGAAGAAGAAGGGGAAGAGCAGAAGCTGTTAGCAGCAGAGTATTTAAGCAGCTCCGCGCAGAGCTCCCAGCAAGCGCACACAACAGGCAGGAAGGGAAATCCACTAAGCGTGAGAGCGAAACGGACGAGTCTCGTGACTCAGTTTCCCCAAAGGCAGGAAAGTCAAGGAGGTTTTTTAAAAAAATGTTTTTATTCGTTCCCTTTCAGGAAGCAAAGGGATTTAAATATCCACAGGCATGTTAGAGTTTCATGTTGGCCAGCGTCACTTAAGTTAACTGACCACACTTCTTAATGGGAGGCGATTCCTGCCTCTTCCCCGCCTCCTTTTCCAAAGTTGGCAGCATTTTTTAAGTGTTTCAGAAAGAAAAGCAGAAATTTGGCATTTTCCAGCCTTAAAAAAATGCTGTTTCTTACTAAGTGTATAGCCTAGCTGTTAAGATCGCACCTGTAATGAAGTTGCCTCCTTGGACATGCACTGTCTAGCACATCAGCCTGGTGCACGAGGTCATGCCTCCCTCTAGCGTTTGCTCTGTGTCATTATAACAACCTCCTACCGCAGTGTTTCCCAACCTTTCTGAGACTCAAGACACACCTGGAAAAAGCTGGCTCTCAGTTTGCACTCAGTTTTTGACTTCAGAAAGAGACTAAAGCGATTCTTCTGTTGCAAAAAACCCAGAAAGACACAACAGGTCAGATTGTTTTTAACACTGGGGCTTCCTACGGGAAATCTTGGGTTTATCTTGTGGCTCACATCTGCACAGCTAACAGTGCCCACAGCACCCTTGACTGAGAAGCGCTGTCCTACATCTTCACCATGGTTAGCACTGTCCTTTAGCCCCGGGGGCTGGCAGAGACCCGCATTTGGGTGTTGACTCTCCCCGTGTTATGCAGCCAAGTTCATGCTGATTGCACTGCCAGGTACGTAGCAGTATAAGTGTGTGTGTGTGTGCACACATGCATGTGTGTGTGATTGCACTGCCAGGTAAGTAGCCGTGTGTGTATGTGTGTGTGTGCGTGTGTGTGTGAGGCAGAGAGAGATTGCACTGTCAGGTATATAGTTGGTGCATGCGTGTGTGCATGCGTGTGTATGTGATTGCACTGGCAGGTATGTAGTTGTATGTGTGTGGGGGGGTGAGAGAGATTGCACTGGCAGGTATGTAGTTGTGTGTGTGTGTGTGTGATTGCACTGGCAGGTATGTAGTTGTATAAGTGTTTGTGTGTGTGCATACATGTGTGTGTGATTACACTACCAGGTAAGTAGTTGTGTGTGTGTCTGCGCGCGTGTGTGATTGCATTGTCAGCTATGTAGTTGTATGTGTGCGTGTGATTGCACCGCCAGGTAAGTAGTTGTGTGTGTGTGTGTGTGTGTGTGTGTGTGTGATTGCACTGCTAGGTATGTAGCCGTGTGTGTGTAAAGCACTGACACTATGCGACACTAAAAGCATAACCAGGCACTGCGATGGTGTTCAGGCAGCAGCACGCCTATTCCTCACTTCTGTTTTCCAGTCATTTACGCTTAAATGCTCAAAAAGAGCAAGGCGGCGAGTACATATTATCACAGCCCCCCCTTAACATAAGTAGCAGGAGCGCAGAAAGGTGGAGAGACTCACTAACGATTGCAGAGGGAGTTGGTGTCAGCGCCGAGGCTCCAGGACTCAGAGCAGCAGCCTGTTGCCCGCCGGCACTAACACATCCCCTCCGGAGTGCGCCGTGAGAGCAGATAGCTGCCCGGGGCCATTCAGACGTGCTGCTCCTCACCTCCTCTCCCCTGCAGGGGTTCTCGGTCATCCACTCCGCGGCACTCAATGGCCGGCTGGACTGCCTGAAAACCATCGTCGAGAAATACGAGGTGGACGTGAACTTGCCCAGCCTGAAAGGATGGAGACCCATTCACCTGGTGATGAACAAGGAGAGCGGTCCCAGAGCCTTGGAGTGCCTGCAGTACCTCATCGGGAAGGGGGCCGACGTGAACATGTGAGTGAGGGCCTGAAATCAGTCTCCATCCTTTGGGTGTTGAAACCCCGGGTAGACAAAGCCGTGGCTGGGATGATGGAGTTGGGGCTGGTCCTGCTCGGACTAGATGCGACCTCCTGAGCTCCCTTCCACCCTCATTATCTACCATGCTATGACATTTACTGCTGGCTTATTTCCCTGCTTATTTCAAACCAGTCTGAAGATGGCTGAACCCAGTTTGAGATAGACGGGCTCATTTTGTAATGCCAAATGCAAGGAGCCCCTATGCTGGGAAGCCAGAGCGGGATCCCCCGACGGCTGGCCCGGCATCGGGACATCCATTTGTTTTCCAGCCAGAGCCAGACCGGAGCGAGTCCCCTTCACAAGGCAGCCAGCGAAGGACGCCTCCCGTGCATTGTCGCGCTGGTGGAAGCCGGAGCTGACATTTTCGCCAAGGATGCAAAGGGACACGTGCCTGTAGACCTGTGCAAGCTGTGGGCACACAGAAGCTGCGCGAGGTGAGCGCTTCCACCCCCGAGGGCCGAGGAAATGGGACGCTTTCCAGCTGCGACCTCGGTTAATAGTCAAGCAGCAGCCGGGCAGGGGATTGAGCTTGGAACTTGATAACAAGCAGTGCTAAAATCCCCGCCTCGGGCAGGGGACAGAGGCAGCGCTTGCGGCATCTGCGCTGCCTCCAGAACGGGGCCAAGGAGCTCTCTAATGCAGCCCCAGTTGGCAGGGGTGAAAATGGAGGTAGAGATGCAGACACGGTGGGTTTGCGCTCTATTGCCTGCCCTCTGTGGCTCCCCCGGTCAACCGGGCCAGGCGTGCAGCATCGTGGGCTCAGCCCGTGCACTTCAGGCCTGACCCGTCACGCTTCCTGCTGCTCCAGTCCATCCCGCTCTTTGCGGCGAGATCCGCCTGACAGCTCAGTCAAGGGACGGATAAAAACCAAGGCCGAGCAAAGCTGCAGGTACACAGGCTGCTCTCCGAGTGCAAGAGGTTGCCCAGCAGAGGTGGACAGGCTGCTTCATGATTATTACCGTGTTTTCTCGCGTATAATATTCAGCCCTCCCCCAAATTCTGCTGCTGGAAATTGGAGGGAGCATCGTAAGTGAGGAAATACGGTAAAAGCAGCTTCTGCCTCTGCTGCAGGGGAAGTTTTGCAGTGCTGCAGGCGGCTGCGGACCCTCTCTCTTTGCCCCCCTTACACAGGCTCTTGCTGCAGAAGCTGCTACTCACCGGTGTTTTCAGGGAAGACCTTTGCTTTCTTTAATCCACCTTTCAGAAACAAAGCCCGTGTCTTCCTCGGGGGGCGCGCTGCGTGCCAGAAAATACAGCGAGTCTTCCAGCCTCCCCTCCCACGGGGTCGTCTTGGATTCGTAGGTTGGGAAGGCCTGGATGGGATGGTAACGGTCAGCTGGTCTGAGCTGCATAAGGCAGGCCAGGGAACGCCCGCCACTCGTATCATGGGTCGCGTTTCTGCCCCGATCGCTTACGGAGCTGCCTGGTGTCAGAGCAAACCAATGGCCAACACACACTAGGACAGGGGCGCTCAACCTCCATCCTGCAGGATAGATCCAGCCCGTGGTGTTTTGTCATTCATCCTGCAGGACTCCCCGGGGGGCAGGATGGGACAGCCGTGGTACCGCTCCCCTCCACGAGGAGCTACATGCTGGGTCCAGCACCCAAACCTTGCACGCAGGGCCGAGCGGGGTCAGTACCAGGCCCTAGGGCCCGAATCCCAGCAGGCGGGGTTGGGCAGGATGGGGTGGTGCTGGGCCCCATCCAGCCTAATGGGCTCTGTGCCAGGCATCTGGCCCTCGGGGACAAAAGGTTGAGCATCACGACCCCAAACCGCCTCTGCCCAGCAGTGTGCACTGGCCAGGGCCAGGAGAGGAGTCCGTGGTGCAAGACCAAGGAGCAAAGCCTCTTGGATCTCCCTGAAGCAGGGTCGGGGTGTGTCAGAGATACTGGATGTGGCCCACAGACCCTATCATCTGGCCTGCGTTGCCTGCAAGTCTCAGACCAGCACGGGAGCTGGAGGTGGAGCACGCACCACACAAGGCACACGGGACCGATCCAGGGCACAGGTTGCACGTGGCACCTTTACCAAACCAGCCCTACACACCGGCTCCCACACGGGCTGGTCTGTGGGCCTGATCCGGCCCCGCGGACCTCGGGCCAGAGACGTTGATGTCCTGACCCCAAAGGAAAAGCTCTGCTCGCTGCACTTGGGCTAATCCTTTGAGAAGACGAGTGCTATTGCTTTACCCAGGGCAGGTTTGGGGGCTCTTGACATCTCTAGACAACAGGCCTTGTAGTTGTGTGGCAGGGTTGTTGCGTGGCTTTAGGACTAGGTCAGACAAGGACTGGTATGGGATGGCTTGGATGGGGATGGTCTTGCCTGGCGCAGAGGGCTGGACTAGATGTGACCTGTGGAGAGCCCTGCCAGCTGTGTATGTGCATGCGTGTGTGTGTAGTTGTGTGTATAGTCAGGTATTGTACATGTGTGGTCACGTGCGTGCGTGTAGTCGTGTTTGTAGTGGTATGTGTGCGTAGTCATGTGTGTTGCCGCATGTAACTGCGTGCATTGCTATCCGTGTGCAGCTGTGTGTATTCTAGCGCACTGCTGCGCAGGTGTGCACATGCAGCCATGTCTGTAGCCAGGCATTGCTGTGCATGTGCCGCCATGCGTGTACCTGTGTTGCTGTGCGTGTGTAGCCACGTGTGCAGCCATGTGTGGTGTGGCACGTATCTGGAGAAAGGGGAAACGGCCGGAAGCCGTGCCTGCTTCACAGGACTGCCCTGCTGCCTCTCCAGGTACCTGACGGACGCCATGTGGAAAAAAACCAAGAGGAATTTGGCTCAGGAAATGCACAAGCTCCAGCAGATCAAGAGCGAGTGGCAGTGCACCGAGGCGGCCTTGGTCACGAGGGAGAAGGTAAGGGCAGCATGGAGTACGGCGCCCACGCAGCCACGGGCTTCGGGGCACTTGGGATCCTGGCTCAACCACGTCAGGCTTTTGCTGGCCTGGGGGTCAGCCGGCCGTTTCCTAGAGGGCAGCTGGAGGTGGACGAAGCCACGGGGGGCCAGCCCCCGTGGGAACCAGGCTGCCACAGAGAGGTTCCCCAGGCCAGGAGGGAGCCTGCCTGCTGCCCAGGTGCTTGGGGCACCCATCTGGGACTGGGACATCTCAGACTCCTGCCCCTTCTCTCGGCATCGTCTCCGCTTGCCGCCCAGCGGCTGCTCGATGTCGAATGCAGGCACGTTCTTGGAGCCCCTGCATGCCTTAGCCACGTCCAAGTTCCCTGCTTACTCCCCTGCCTCGGGCTCCTGGGAAAGCTACCGGGCGATTTCAGAGACCGCAAGCCACTGGCTGAGCCTGGCACCGGCAGTGGGGGACTCCCCTGGCGCGCAGAGGGGAGAGCGCCCCGTTCCCCATCCTACCTAGATGCCCTCCAGCTCCGTGGGGTGTAGCCAGGGTGGGGAAAGGGAGATCCCTTACCCCGGCGCTCCGTGCTGCGTTGCAGATGGAAAAGGCCATGCTGAACAGAATGGCTTTCTCCGACTGGCTCCAGAAAAAGCAGCAGCGGCCCTCACTTCGCACCCTTCAGGAAGAGCCTTTCCCTGAGGACAGCGCAGACCTGGGCGCTCTCCCCAGCACGTTAGCAGCCAAAACCCCTTCCGAAGAAGAGCTGATGTGGGTGGATTCAGCCCCGCGTTTCCCCGATCTCGTCCAGCTGCCCCTCGAGCAGGCGCCGCCACCGTGGAACGCCAGCACCAACCCCTCGTCCCCGCCGGTGGCGGACATATACCGCGCCACGACCGTGAGGCTGGGCGCCGAGCCCGAAGCCAGCCCGGAGCATGATTTCAGCGCCTTCCTGCACCTCTCCAAGGACCCGCGTGGCCGGCCGCTAGTCCGTTCTGCTCACGGAGGCCGACTGGCCTCCCTCCCTGAGCTGCCCTACGACATAGTCCGGAGGAGCATCTTCCCCTCGTCTCGGCCGGTCCGAATGAAGGGGCCGCAGGACTTCCGACCCGCTCACATCCTGGGCGTCCCTAGGAAGCGCCTCCCGCACGGGCCGTGGCGGTGGACGGACGAGATGGCCATGAGCCTGCGGGAAACGCTGGACCCGGAGTTCGTAGCCACAGTCAGGGCTCATCTCGCCGCCTACGACGAAAGCAACTAACCCTCCCCAGCAAAACCAGGGTCTCATCCTGTGAGGAGCTGAGGGCTCTCCACTCCCACACAAGTCAATCAGAAACAGGCCAGGTGCAGCACACCTCACAGGATGAGGCCCTGTGATCCTTCTTCACCGTCCTGCTACTTCCAGGCTGCTCTTTCAGACTCTTAAAACAGCTTTGGTGGGAATAACCCAGCGACAGGAGTGGGGGTCACCCACATCTTCAGCACCTTGGGATCCTAAGCGAATCAGCCGTATCAAGGGTTACACCTCCATCATCTGATCTGCTCGGACTTGTCGCTCATGCAAACGCGGTGAGGATTATAGGACTCGGCAATACCTTTTCAACTAAACCAGCTTGCATTAAACCAGCCGCTGCGCGTCCTTGTTCAATAACGCAGAGCCCCAGGGGTTTGCTCTCGCTGGGCCGGTGTCTCCACAGAGCGGGGTCCGGGTCTCTTCACGAGACCACTTTGGAGGGGAGAGTCGGCGCCATCAGACCAGCCACCACGTGCTGAATAGACAGGCTTCTGTTGCTCCCTGGGTCCGAGAGCCACGTTCTCCCTCTACTTCTTGACCGTGGCCTGGCCGTGGGGCGCACCACCTTGCCCTGCCTTTCCCCCGACCAGCCGCATGCTCCAGAGTTGAGTAGGGCTCAGAGCCACTTAGAAATCCTGCAATCCAGGTGAGCTTGTGCCACGGCCTGAGACACTTCACCTCCGGTGTCCTGTAATCCCTCTCCTGACAGCCATCTCAGACGGCCCCTGGGCTCCGCTGGCCTCCTGGAAGGCTGTCAGGACAGCGCTGCTCCAACACAGCAAACCCTTCGTGCATCCCCGCACTTTGCTTCTCATTAGTCTCCCATCTCAGTCTGACTCAGCTCAGCCCTCAAGCAGGCTTGCAGAGATCCCCGGGTAACGCATCCATTTGCTCAGTGCTGAGCAAGGCAGCAGGGATTTGGAACAAGGGGGCGTCTGGATGGAGATGGGGGAGTCCACGCACCATCCTGTCCTCCCAAAGGGAAAAAAAACACTCCAGGTTACACCAGCCCCTGCCCTGCCGGGCTCACCAGGGAGCTGGGGTAAGGACCCTCAAAAGTGATAAACCAAGAGGTTGGCTCGCTGGGTGAAGGCACCAGCCCTTCCTTCGTTTCTGCATGCAACTGGCTGGAAACGAGCCGAGAGACGCCCCCTGCCCAGTCACAGCTTGTAAAGAGAAACTCAGGTCTGTACGAAATCCTTACAGCATGAACCAGAGTCCTAGAAACACTGGTTGGTCAGGCCCTTGCCCTCGGACATCCTGTCCGAGCCCTGCTCAAGGCAGGACAGGCCTGTCTGAACCATCCTAGGTAGGCACATGACTAACCTGCACTTCAATGCATCCAGTACTGGAGATCCCGCGGCCTTTCCGGGTATCTGAACCACCCCACTTCACAAGGCCTCCACAAAATCCAACTCAGCTTGGTCAGCAAATCCCCAAGGCCGGTCCCCACATAAATGTCAGGGACAGGGTCCAGGACAAGGGAGGCAGCAAGCTCCCAGGTTGCTCACCAGAGCCAGCAGCAGTCAGAGCTCTTGGCACCTGGCCCCTGGGCACGAGAGCTCTTGGCACCCACCCCCGTGTGCAGCCTTGATTACACCCATTTGTCTGGCTGCCAGGACCAGTCTGTGCTGTGTCCATACAGGTCTAACCAAGCTGCTTGGGCGCCCTGTGCAGCTCCACGGCAAGCACTGCCTCCCTGGAGAGGACGGGGTACAACAAAGCCCAGCTAGGACCACCCTCCCCAGCCCCTGGGCCCAGGCAGCTCCACACCTGTACGGTCTTGGAGGGCCACCTGCAGCGGGAAGCCAGCCCTCTGGCTGGGAGCAGCTCCAGGGGCAAGCAAAGGCAGGACTTCTTCCGGCCGCTCAGAAACCCATCAGTTCGGAGGGACCTGCTGTGCTGAGGTGGGGTCCCTTCACCACAGCCCCACTCACAGCTAACCCCTTGCCCCCTTCGCCCTCACTCCTTCCCTTCAGCATTGCCTCTCCTCTCCAGCAATTATGCCCTTGTCCAGCATACTGTAGAGCCCCCCCCCCCCACGCCCCTGCCCGGCTCCTAGCAATGTCTTCCTGCAGAGCAACACCCAACACGAGCAAGTCGCTTTGTGATGAGCTGAACAGACTGAGCTCGAGTTTTACTCACACCCTCCCTCGCCTGTTAACCCCCTTCAGACAGGTCCTGAATCCGGCCCTTTCCTGCTACACCTTCAGAACCGGCTTCGGGAAGCGCTGGGTGAGCTCTTCCCAGTTCTCCAAGCGCCTCACCGTTCGGTTCAGTCCTCGTAAGAGAGTGCTCCAATCGGGGACTAGAAAATCCTCGCCTTCAGCCAGGAAATTAGGAGCTGGTGGGCCGAGAGGAAGGAGGGGGGAGACAGCCACGCTCAGCATCGGTGCTCGAAAGGCAAACTCAGTCTAGAACCTTTATTCAAACAGAGACTCGGTACTTGCATGGGAATCGCACTTCCCTTCAATTAAGGATGAATGATATTGTCATAGGACCCCCAGGGAAAGCCACGGCCAGGGTTCTTGGTACACAGGTTATGCCTAACGCTTCTTCATGGCCTTCACCCAGCACTGACCCGTGTGAGGAAACAGATACGCTCCTTGCAGTCTTGAGAAACCCTCGCGAAGGGAAAGGGTGGTACAGAAATCCAGTGCCAGCAGCAGCAGCACACCCACACTGGAACCCCTCTAGCCCTGACCCAACGGTTAATGGAGACCGGCAATAACGAGGTTAGGCTCTTAATTGTTTACAATGCAGAAAGTGAGGCCAATGAGGTCCCCCGTAACCTCTGATTTCGCTCTGGGAGGTCAGGTCTATTCTACTCTACATCCAGGAAGACTGTGGGTGACTGGAGAACCAGGCGGCACTGGAGCTGCCTGGCCAGTGACCCCCGATAGTGAGGAAGTGAGTGTTGCCTGATTTCTAACCCCAGGCTGTTTTCTCAACCCCGATTTCCCTCCAAAGAGCCGGCGTTGGGAAGACAGGCTCTGGGGGGACACTCTGTTGCAACCGAGTCCTGCAAGCAGCAAAACCAGGGGAGAAAAGCTGATATTTCTAATATTCAAACCAGCTGAATCTCACGCACTGTGGCAGGCTATCTTTATGCACTGTCAAGAAGCAGCAGGAGAGCTGCCAATGCAGGTCCCTGCAGGGCTACAAGTGCCCCAGACTGCCCCACACTCAGACACCATGGTCTCAGCCTGTGCCCGAATCACAGAGCTGCCGGTCGCAGCCAGTGCTGCCCGCCCCCCACGCCCTTCCAGGCAGAGAGGATCAGGGACTCAAGAGCTTGGCGATTTATTTTTCGGATCGTGGCTTTCTGCAAACCCAGCACACCGCCGAGCGCCTGGCTGCTGCCATCCCAAGGGGAGTCTGCCCCGGACACGCAAAGGCGTTCGGCTTGGAACAAAGAACAGACGCTGCTGCCTCACCTCGCAGTCTCTGAGCCAAAGCCGTGGCCCTGGGAGGCTGCCGCGCTCCTGAGCAGAACAGGGCCAGGAGCCCACGGGAGCGAGATAAAAAAGTAGCCTTCTGTGCTCCACAAAGAGGCATCGAGCCCCCTCCATGGGTGCCCGTTCCCCGCGGCAGCTGCCTCCAGCCACTGCAGTTTATATATAACTAACAAAATCCCTGGGGGAGGGTGGGGGATTCAGGTGAAGCCCAGGGACAGCACTGACGTTTGTACCCCACACCCGCTGGGTCCTCCCTCACCACGGCCAACGCTGCCCGCGGGTGGGCTCAGTAGATCTTCTGTCGGCTGGGTAGGATGGCCTCCTTGACAAAGGAGAAGATGATGAGGATGCCGGAGCGCTTGCCCCTCTTCCCCTTCGTGAAGTAGTTCGAGACCACGTCATCTGCACAGGCAGGGAGAAAGCCAGTAAGACCGAATGCCAAAACACCATCCCATCCCCCTGGAGAATCACGAACGCTTGGGTTGGCAGGACCCCTTGGGCAGTCCCATCTGATCCAACCCCCCTGCTCAGGGCAGGATCAGCGATGTCTAAGTGTCTGCTCTTAAACACTTCCCAGAATGGAGACTCCCCAGCCCCGGTTCCAGGGCTAAACCACCCTTGTCATGAGGGTGGTCTTTCTACAACTCCAACCTGAATCTCCCTTGCTACAGCTGGAGACCACTGCTCTTGTCCTGTCCCTCTACAAAGAACAGCCAGCTCTGGAAAAGAGAAGTCACCCTGAAAGCCTCAGAGCTTCTCATAGTCCACGGGATGTAACGATGGCAAACAATCAGGGCTGTAAGCTTTGTATCACGAGATGAGCAACAGGGTCCTCCTCTTTCACAAGCAGGGGTAGTAGCACCCAGCCCAGCAGGTGAACTGGGGGGAAAGGGCACCCCAGAGGCAATGGTCTGCAGGCAGAGAGTGAGCTGGAGCTGGAACAGGCCTCACTGGTCTAATTCATGCCATGCCTAAAACAGGCCCCGCTGACTCTACCAGAGGTCTCCAGGGGTTAGCGACGGGACAGCTACCCCTTCCTTCATCAATCCCTGCAGCGGACAAGGGAGCACTTCATGCTGGGATACGTGGTTCCCACAATTCCCCGGGGAGGATGCACTGTAGGGGGAAGAGAGTTGCTGGTTGCAGGACTTCGGCGCACTCACCTCCAGGCTGCATGGTGGAAGGAAGCACGTTCTCTCCGGCCGACAAGGACACAAAAAACGCGAAGGGGATTAGCCACAGGCAGAAGGTGAAGTAGGCGAGGACCTGCGTGCAGAGGAGACAGGTTGTGAAACCCCAAGCCACAACCTATCACACCAGGATCCCGATGGGTCCAGCCCCAGGCTACCTGCTCCCCTCCTGATGCTCTTTCACAGCACCTTGAGCTGCCACATCCGCAGACAACAGAAGTGGCATGTCACAGACTTTACACAGGGGTGTGTGTGCACGGGAAAACAGACTACATGCCGTGGGTTCAGCCAGCAACCGGCCCAACAGCCTGCCGAGCTAAGGGAGCCCAGTGGGTGGGACATGGGGACAGACGAAGCTGAGGGACAGACTGGAAGGGAATGGCTTCCACGTGGGGATCGGGACCACGTCTCACAGCTCAGCGGCAGGCAATGAGCGGACCTTTCCCTGACACAAACAGGAAGCCTCTGGGCTTCACAACAGAACCTGTGTCTGATACCTGCTAGACCTGCCCAGCTCACGCCGCGAGCCGGACCAGACCCTGGCTCGTGCATCATCAATAGGGCTTTTCACAAACGGTCCTGCTTCCGCCCTCGCAACTGTACCGCCCTACAAAGACATGGGAGAGCCCCATAGGAGCGTGGAGGACACCTCAAGGGCAAGGATCACAGAGGGAAGCCACCTAATTAAAAATTGTGTCACGTTCCTCTTCTAGGATGGCTCCTCCTGGAAGCCCAAGGGGCTCAGAGAGAGACAGTAACATCCTCTGTATCCTGTGCACAGCTCCCTGGATCCCCCAATCCAGTGCTGAAAGGCAGCTGCCTCCAGGGAAGAACAAAGCAGCCGTTCAACAATGCAGAGCAAAGCTGGGCAACAGTTTAGGACAGGAAGTGAAGGAGAGCAGACCCTAGCCTAGGGCAACAGTGAGAGATTTCAGCTGCGACGACTCATAAAGCAGCGCCAGTGGCAGACGTGGTTTTAATAATGACTTAAGTGTTTAGAGGAAGAACGAGCAAGATAAAGCTACCGTTCCCCACCTCACCATAATGGGCTCAGGCCTTTTGTGTTAAATGCAGGCTTTGCCTGCTGGCAGGTGAACAGGGAGGTTTATGACACCTGAGATTTCAAGGGCAGAATCCCTGATGGCTCCCAAAGAGGAATGGCTTTTATTCAGGCTGTTTAAAACTCACTGATGATTTACTAATGCGCTCCAAGCGCTTTGGTAAAAAGCTCTGCGCGAGGCATTCAATGCCCCTGCTTTTAATAAGAGTAATAAAGCCCCAGAACCATCTAGATTCCTCCAGGTAAAACCAAGCCAGAGAAAGCAGGGTGTCTCCAGTACTCCCAAAGCAGGGGGCGGGAGATAAAACAAAAAAAAACAACTGGTGTGAGCCCAGAGGCAACACATATTCAGGGTGTCGTTACACTGGATAGAGCAGCCTCACAAGGGAGAGACCGCCCTGCTCCCTCAAGCAAGAAACCTCAGACCTCCCCCACCCCTCCCGCCAGCACCGGGCGGGAAACCCCTCAGCGCGGACTCTCCTCCCGCTTGGCCTCTCACCTCTGAGAAGGGGTAATACTCCTCAGCAAAGTACTGGAAGGCTAAGTAGTGATTCAATACGACCAGCACTGCCAAAGGAAAGGAGAGAGTGAGCTGCAGGTGTAAAGCACGTACCCACCAACCCACTTCATCTGCCAAGACTTCACACTCTTCCCAAGGCGCTGGGATGCAGCAGCATAACAGCCGGCACAGATGCAATCGCCCCTTTTCCCCGCGAGTCACAAAGGCGCCTGGGACGGTTCAGTGTCTTACTGCCGCTCCTCTCAGTTGCAGCATCGATCTATCGCTGACGGAGGGGGCGCAGTATTAGCAACCAGAGCTGAGAGCCGGACCCAGCTGTGTGACCTGTAACCTCTAATCAGGTCTGTGCTGGATGAGCTTTCTGGGAGGACCAGCCTCGTGTCCGCATGCAGTACGGCAGTTCGAGACAGAAAGCGAAGACTCTCGTGCCCTACCCCACGTGCCATGCGAGGACAGCATAACCCGAGCTGGAGCCCCGCCAGGGCAGCAGGGATAAGTTTCACATTCCCCAGTCCTAGCAAAGGAGCTAATCGATCATAATACCTCACCCACTTCCCTCTCGGCCTTGCAAAGTACCTTATAAATAGGCACCCCCACCCTTCTGGGGATAAAGGCATGTCTGCGTGTCCATCCCAGAGAGGAGAAGATGCGCCCAAGGTCACAAAGGAAGCAGGCTGCCGTAGAAAGCTCCTGCCCTTGGGAGCTCGGCACATCTTCCCCCTTTTCTCCTCTGCTCCCGACAGCTGTCGGCCGCGTGCTTTGCACAGCAGGGACCAGAGGGGAGGGGAGGGGAGGGGAGGGCTGCCTGGAGGCGTGCACGTGCCATCCTGGCAGGCAGAGCTCAGCCGTTACAAGCGCGGCGCCCTGCACCAGCAGCACCGGTCAGCGCAGCCCCGCGCGGCCGAGACCACGGTCCAGCGGGCACAGCAGGCCCCAAACTCCATCGCCACGAGGCGTTGGGTCCGCTCCTCGGGGAAGACGAGTTGTGAGGGCGAGGCACGGCTCCCGGCATGACCCCAAGGGCCTTTACACACGTGTTTACGATCCCGCACGAAGGACGGCAGCAGGGAACGAACCCTCCCGAGTCACCGCCACCGCAGGCGGCCAAGCTCGATAATCCCTTGCATAAAGGGTAACAGGTGCCGTGCAAAGTCCAAAGCACAGCCTTTCCCAATTCCCCGCGAGCGGTTACGCTGATACTCTGGCATCAGGCACGAGCTGGCCCAGGGGCAGCGCTGGCACCGCGCAGATGGCAGCTGTCAAAAGGCCTCTCACGTCCCTCGGACGCCCGTTGCCCGGCCCCGCCGCGCCACGCAGCACACGCGGAGGCAGCAGACCGACGGATCCCAGTCCCAGCGCCGCTCACCGCAGGACAGGATGAAGTTGGGCGACGTCAGCATGATGAAGGGGAACGTCTGGAGCAGGCCGAAGTAGACGAGGTTGGTGAAAAGCCCCACGCCCACCATGAAGCCCG